TCACCTCAGGTCCCACACCCCTCCTCTGTCACGAGTTTTGGGCCCCACGTCCTGCCTGAAGATGTCGCTGAGACCAGGAGCCCCAGTCTTATTCCAGTTTTGAGGGCCTTCATCAGGGGTTGTGCAAATTCAACTATCTGCTACCAATTCTGCTTGGATAGGTGGCCAGAGGACATTTTTGGACAGAGTGCTCAAGAGTGCCTCCTCCCAAGAGGGAGATCAGACCACTTCATAACTGAATTCTGATGTAACGTGTCTCACCGGGCATCCATCCCCTTCTCCTGCACTTGTGGGTTTTACCCCTTTTACTGTGTCACACCATCCAGCATCACAGCCGCTGGCCAGTTCTTATCCCTACCAAAACGAGTACAGAGTTTTGGCATTTGGGGTGGGAGTCAGCTGTGGACCTCTCCTTGCTTCACACGGCCTTGCCTGCCAAAGCTGCAGAAGAGGTTCCTGGGCCAGATCCACGTAATGAGATTGTCACCTCCCCAGCCGGCACTGTCCAGCTCCCCTCTTTTAAGCACAAGCCCCCATATTCTGCCACCCAGAGGCCAGGTGTGGGTGGCAGCAGGGAGAGCATCCTGACAGCCCTGTGGACAAGACACATTCATGCCCCACCCAAGCCTGACCCTGATCCTTAGTGCAAACCCGTTTGCAAATCTGGAGAAGCCCCAGCTCTGCGGGCGAGCCCCACCCAAACAGGTGAGCATCATTGAGGGTAGAGGCAATGCCCAGCTAGTTTGGCTTGAGGGTTTTCACCTTCCCCATGGGGTTCTGGGCCACTTTATGCATCTGGCATTTTCTCGATCTCTGGTTATTAAGACATTTTGTCGTGTCCAGTGTTTATGTCCCCAGCTGAGCTGTGCTCCTCCAGTCCGATGAGGGGTTGCCTGTGTCAGGCTGCTCATACTGGCTCCTACTCAGCACCCTGTGCTTTCCTCCAGGCATGTCCCTCCCTTCCTGTAGGTGGTCCTCGAGTGACCCTCCCTCCTGTCTGCCCTGGCTTGAGTGTCAGACTACCTGTTGATGGGTATAAGTTTCTGAAAGGCCTAAACGTAGTGCTTTGCAGAGCTCAAATTTAGCTTCCTTAGTCATCCTTTATAAATGCGCGTGTTTGAGATCCCTTCCTTCTACAGGTAATTCTTGTGGCCAACTGTTCAGGGCAGGTGATAGATAAATTCACCACACTGTAAATCATGAGGAGGTTGAATCTTTGTTTTTGTTGCTGCCCAAACACAAATTCCCTGGAAAAATCTATTAGAACAACCAGTCACCAAAGAGCAGCAGCTAAATGTAAAACACTCTAATACAGTGGGGTTTGCAAATGCTGGTTCAGTTTCCATAAGTGAGAACCTGCTGTTTTGGTAGGGTGCCTTTCTCCAAACCTTTAAAAGCACTTAGGGATTTTCTGTGCTGAAGTGTCTTTTTGAAAAATGTATGTTATGAATGGAGGAAAAAGTACAGAACAAAAAATAAGAAAGACAAAAACAATCCATATGGGTTTTTCCTGTGAAGGTTTTCTCGAAGTCAGCCTGCTGGACGTGTTACACATGCTATGGAATATTCATCTTGTCTCTCTGTGATATCTGTCTTTGTGTTTGGCATTATCATGAATACCAGTTGTGTGAAATGAGTGCAACTGACAGGATTTAAAGGCTAAAACTAACCTTGCTAATCCATCTATTCCCCATTCTCCGCCTTAGGCCATGCCTCTTCTGCAAGACTATACGACAGCCTTGCTCCTCTGATGGGAGCTGCACTAATTTCCAGAATGTCAGTCAAAGTCTCCCTGCTTGAGGAGTTGGAGAAATTCAGGTTTCTCTTTCTGACTAGATGGAAAAAGAGCTAGAAAGAATTTTCAGAATAAGATGAGTGTTGGTATTCTTGCCACATCTGTTTAGCTTGTTCACTTTACTAGCTTAGAAATATAATTCAGAGTTCTTTTTCCTTGTGGGTCATATTAATTAATAAAATTAATTAAAAATATGCGTAGGGATCAATTAATTCATCAATATTTTTAATTAAATAAATCCATCAATATTGACCAACAGCTGTGTGTTGGGCATTGTTCTAAGTGCTCAGGATACAAAATGGACCGAGTCCCTGCTCTCCTGGAGCATATATCCTAGTGAGTAGAGAAACAGAAAATAGTCAAACAAATATGTAATATGAGGTGGCAAGTGATATGATGAAGAATAAAGCAACGTTAGGAGGTGGGGAATGATGGGTGTTGGGGAATGGGGTACCATTTTACGTAGAATAGTCAGGGAAGTCTCTCAGATAAGGCGATATCTGAGCAGAAGTCTGACGATGTGAGGGAGTGAGCCACACTGATATCTTGGGTGAGTGTGATCCAGGCAGAGAAAACAGCAAATCGCAAACACCAAGGTGCTCAGCATATTTAAGGAACTTTTTAGGTTATAGTGAAGCCTTTGGGTTTTATTTTCATTGAAATTGAAAGTCACTGGAGTTCTGAATAAAAGGAGTGACATAATTTCATTTATGTTTTTGAAGGATGAATTTGGTTGATATTATTAAAAACGGTGTGAGGGGCCAAAGGAGAAAGCAGTACACGCAGTTAGGAGGCCACTGCAGTGAAGTCTAGGAAGAAGAGTGGATTGGATTAGAGCAATGATGATGGAAGTAGTGAGTGGTGATTGGATTCTGGAACTATTTTGAAGATAGAGCCGACAGGACTGGCTGATGGATCTGATGTGTGATATGAGGGAAACAAGAGGAGTCAAGAATGCCTCTGAGGTTTTAGCCTAAATGGCTGGTCGTTGCTATTTCCTAAGATGGTAGGCTTGGGATAGGAGCAGGTGTGGTGATGGAAAGGGTCAAGAGTTCCATTTGGGGCATGTTCACTTTGAGCTGCTCCTTAGACATCCAAGTTGTGATGCTGAATAGGCAGCTGGATATGAGAGTCTGGAGTTCAAGGGATGAGGCTGGGGCAGGAAGAATAAATTCTAGTGTCATCACCATATATAGTCATCCCTCACTGTACACAGGGGATTGGTTCCTGGACCCCCAAGTATACCAAAATCCAAGCATACTCAAGTTCTGCAATCAGTCCTGCAGAGCCCACATATAAAAAATGTTGGCCCTCCATATATGTGGGTTTCACATCCCAAAATACTATATTTTTTATCCAGATTTGGTTGAAAAAAAATGTGCATTTAAGTGCATTGCACAGTTCAAATCCGTGTTTTTCAAGGGTCAACTGCATATGGTTTTAAAACCATGGGATTACATGAGACCATCCATGGAGCAAGTGGAGAGAGGGGAGAAGAAGTCCAAGGACTGAGCTCTGGGTGTCTCCAAAGCTTAGAGGTTGGGAAGGAGACGGAGAGGGGGTGAAGCAGAAGAAAGCCAATGAGTGTGGTCCCAGAGGCGAAGGAAGAAATCGTTCCAAAGAGCACAATGACTTTGCGAACTGTGGTTGGCTTGAGTAAGATTGAATATATTGAGAAATGGCCATTGGATTTGGACACGTGGAAGTCACTGGTGACCTTGGCGAGAGCATTTTTAGTAATACAGTGGGAACAGAACTCAACAGGAGTGGGTGCACGAGACAGCAGAGTGGGGAGAATGTCAGCAGTGTGTATAGCCTCCTTTCCCGAGGAGGTTTGTTGAGAAGGGGAACATGGAGCAGCTGGAGGGAGCTGTGGTGTCCAGGGAGGGGATGTCTGTCTGTTAAGATAAGAGCTCTGGTGGCATGTTTATATGCTGCCGGGACTTGCCATCCAGGAGAAAGAGCACACATAACAATGCAGGAATGAAAGGGGACAATTGTGGGGCAGAGGGGTTGGGATCAAGTGCACATGTGGAGTGTTGGGAAGAGCAAAATGCACTGATACAGATCCAAGTAGGCAGGTTGGTGGATTTGGTGGTGGGAGCCTTTGGAAGAGTGCGAGGGGAGAATGAGGCAGAGGAGGAGTTGGAGGCTTGAAAGGAAGGAACGTGGTGAAGTAGTAGAATGGAATGGCAACTTGATTACGAGTGTGCTCAGGCCTCGCTGTGCTTGTTAAAACACCAGCTGCTTCACCCTGACAGTTTCTGCATTTGGTAGGTCTGAGGAGGTACGCAAGAGTTTGCAGTTTTCACGAGTTCCCAGGTGATGCTGATGCTGCTGGTCCAGAGACCAGACTTTAGGAACCACTGGGCTGCAGACGTGGATTAGGATGGATGGCTGGGGCGGCACTCAAGCCTCCATGTGCCTGGCAGTCATGCATATAAAGTGAATTTCATCAGCACGGTTGTATGTCTTCCTCCTGCTCTGTTCAGCTGCACAGGAGCTGGCTGCAGACTTAACCAAAAACAGTGAAGAATTGATATCACCAGGATGCTTGGAAGGTTTTTCATCTCTGTGATGTCTTTGTTCTGCACATGCTATTTGTAAGTCCTTTATTTTAAATAGGAAGGATGAGAAAATCTGAGACTGAGAAAGAGGAGAATGAAAGTTTGTGGTTGAAGTTTACTGTTATAGGACTTAGATGTAAAATGGAATAATATCCACCTCTGGTCACATGTGAGAAGGAGAAACATAGCCCCTTTCCCTAAAATACCCGTTAACCATACTATTTCTGTGATCTACTGAAAAGCAAAATTCTGAAATATACTTTGAAAAACTAAAACTTCATTCTTTTATATTCTATAACATTACATCGCAAACTGAATTTCAAGAAGGTTATATTGTTCTTTGAAAATGTCCATATCATCCTAAAAAAATAAGTGGTTAAATGCAGAGCTTTACACATAGGAAATGAATATCAGCCCACACGGTAAGGAGAAAGCTCAGCTGTTTAGAGAGGGGACCGCAGCTCATTAATCAGACTAAAAAGAGAAGAACTGACTTCCATAATAAGGAGCAGTACTAGTCCAGATAGAATATGTAAAGCAGCAATTTAAATACAGTATGATATGTTTACATATTAAGCAATACTGTATTAATTTTTAAATTTAACTGATAGTTTTCTTTTTGTTAAAAAACAAAACAGATTCTGTTGGAGCCAGGCGTGATCCAGGATGTGTTAGCAGCTGGCAGTCACCTACAGCTGTTGGAGCTTCTCAATTTATGTTCCCACTATCTCATCCAGGTATGTGAGCTTGCATCCTGCTAATATGCCCTTCACATTCCTTTCCCCTGCACTCATAAGCTGTCCCCCGCCAACTGGAGCTGAATGACAGGTAAAATGCGGGCCGTGGGGTGCGGTTGCAGCCTCTGGTAGAATTTCTCTGGGAGGCAAGCTGAGAGGCTCATCGGAGGGCAGCTGCAGCTCTTGTGTCCTATCACAGAAGTGGGTGGATTCCTCCATTTTCCCTGCCCACCCTAGGTCCCTGCTATCCTGGGGCAGCAGAATAACTCAACAGCCACACACAGGGTTCCCTGCAGAGTCCTGGAGAGGGCTGGACAGGGTCCTTCCTGCTCTGAAACAGTGTTGTCTGGTTTCAGAAATAACCACAAATGCAAGGGAAGTTCAATAGTTGTTGAAGGTTTCAGTAACAGTAGCTGATATATCGCAAAGTCATGTATGATTAATGACCACGTGAACTTCCCAGGTAGTAAATGCTGGAGAGGGGATGAGTGATCTGTGCACTTTTCCCCTGATTTGCTGGCTGGTCAGGAAAAGCTCCATGAGAGGGACGGAGAGAAAACTCCTGTACGCCGAGCACCGACTGTATTCACAGGTGTTTCATGTTCAGTCCTCACAACAACTTTGCACGCTTTCATAGATGAAAAGGCAGCGATTCGAAATGCATCCAACTTGTCTGAGGCAATATGGTTGGTGAGTGGAGGCCTTTCTGATTCCAAAGACTATTTTCTTCTTGGATGAAAACGCTTTGCAAGGTAGGGAGAGACGGGGCATCTTAGGCAGATAGCACGATCGTGAGGCTCTTTGACTTTACGGAGAGTTAGGAACGAATTTCCAATTTTAGGTTCCTCCCATTTTCCCCACTGGTGTCACTTTCACTTGCATGCGTTACAGTATTGTAACAACAGTGATAATTAATTTTAAGAAATAATAAATCCACACAATTTAATTCTATTACCTTTGTGCATGTGACATGATATTAGTGAACAGAAAAATTTTGTTTTCATGCCCAATTACTTTATTTTCCTTTCTAATCATTTTCTCTAATTTTAAATATTTCCTTATCATTGACTTCTGTTACCCATTAGGTAGTTTAGAGAGCTCTTTCTCATATAGCATCTTATTTAACTTTCCTAGCGACCCTGGGAAATAGAGCCTAGTGCCTCCCAGCGAGACAGCGTGAGGAATGTCAGCCACGTTCACCTAAGGAGCAATTCAAATACAGCATATGCAGTTTTTATCATTATCTCAGCACATTTAATCTAACAGCAAATGTTCAGCTATTTTTATCTTATTTTCCTTTCTTTTCTCTTCAATATTGTTAGGTGGTATGGGAAAGCTGTTTTTAATCCCTTTCTGCCAGTAGCAAATGGGAATCACATAGAAAGGTTGTAAGACTTCAAAAGTATATGTTTGACTTGTGAAATTGAAATTACTTTTATTTGACATTTCTACATCAAATATTGCAACTTGAGCTTTACACATCATCACCTGATTCACTTTTCCATGACAGATAATAATCAGTGATGCACGTTGATACAAAGTTGGTTATGGTGTTAGTTATCATAACGCATATTATAAGTGGTGTGTATATACATGTGTATGTGTGTATACCTATACCTACAATTTTCTATAAATGAGAATTCCAGATGAACATCAAAAGTTCATGGATATTCTCTCCTGCCCTGTCAGATGAATTTGTTGAGATACTAAGTGACTTGTGCACTTTGGAATTTAACTCTTGCAATTCATTATTTTGCTGAGGTTAAAGTACAGCTTGCATACAGATAAGTTTTGTGGACAGTTATTATTCAGGCTTCTTGAATAGTGGTTGAAACTTTCACTGTCTTTTCACAAATATGTTTTCATTTTATTCTCTTGTGTACCTTTACTTTTCCTTTTTATCTGTGATTTTTGCAAGATGTCAAATTTGTAGGAGGAAACTTTGACTATATGACTACCAAAATCACAGACCGGCTTAGTCTTCTTTTATATTTTGACACAGTCTTATAGCTATACCTATTTGCTACTTTTGGCAATATTGCTCAAATGATTTTTGATTTCATATGAGACCATTTTAACGAGTATATAAAAATAATTTTTTAGGTGAAAAATTTCCAATGTCTAAGATGTACCTAGAGACTGTGCCTGTCAGTCAGGCATCCTTAGGTGGTACTTTGTCAACTAGGAGTTTTCGAAACCATTCTCCTTACTAAGATGTCAGGTATTGTTTTGTTCTTCTTAAATTGCCATCATTTCTTTGGTTTCTCTGCCAGAGGAGTGAAAGGTGGACTCTGCTCTAATACCCTCTGTCACTAACGCCACTGCTCACTGTAAAGCGTGTCCAAGGATAACCGTGTGTGGAAGCTCCCTGAGCCTCCCGGGACATCAGCTACTGCCTCAGCCTGAAGATCCTCTGAACACACGTAGATGCCCCTCCTGCCCCCAGAAAGGAAAGGACCACCTTGAGGCCACTGCAAGGGCTCCTTTCTCTTGCTTTTCCTCTGGCTGGCTTCTGAGGGCAGGGACCCCAAACTGCAGGAGCACTGCCCCTCTGTGTCAATGAGGACAGCTTTTGAGTTAGCCCTGTACGCCGTGAGGCCTTCACACCGGGTCTCAAAGCATGTTTGTGGGAAAAAAGGGAGAACCGACAATGAATGTGATGCTAATTGATGGGAGGTAGGGGGTCTTGCCTTCTTTAGGCTCTCACCATTCTTGCTTACGGGTTATACTATCCTCTTAAGCTGTCTGCTTGTTTCTAACTTCAATCCATGCCAAACTTCAGCTCCCAGAGCATCACTGTCTTTCCCAGGGAAGTGAACCAGCACGTATTCAGGGCCTATCAATGCTGAGTGTTTTGCAAGGACTTCCATTCCCACTCTGCTAGGTCACCCCTTAAGGCAGGTGGGTGCTGTTTTCTTTTTATGGATGGAGAAACTTAAATTCAGAACTGGGATGTTGATCTGGTTTGGAAACTTCTGTTAGCTCCTGTGATGATCATTCAGGTACATTATTTCACCTAAGAAAGTCCTTAGCTTCATCTGCTCATCTCAAAGCCCAGGCCTGCTCCTCCCCAGCCTCATCTCCTGCCATAGCGTCTTTCCTGGACCGCTTTGTTCTGGACCCTAAAGCAGACTTTTCATGTTGGGACTTGCCATACTGGGAGAAGACTAGGTAGTGGAGATCATCCTTGGTGGCAGTCCCCTTCAGATTATACTAAGGGGCAGGGGTGGGGAAAATAACACACACACACACACAAACACACACACACACCCACCTACCCACCCCTGTCTTCTGCTAATGCACAATGGCATAAGATCAGGGCTATTGGTAACTGGATTTTGTGTTGAATCCCCTAAAAGTGGTGCATTAGGGGCCAGGTGCTTTGCTGAAGATGTCTTTTTTTTTTATAGTTACCTTTCCAACAAACAAACCAAAGTTTGAACATTTTATACCACCACCAAATAATATATCCTATGGTTTGATTAACAAGTGTTCTTTCTGTTTGCTAAGTATCACAGTCTTTATAATGATATGCAATTTAAATGTATGGAGAAAAAAGAGCCATCACACAGACTTTTTGCATCAAACCACCAAAGTAGTGAATATATGAACTCCCTTTGATAGGACTGTATGTCTAGTATCTGTTCCTAGACAGCAGGTGGCAGTGTGAATCCACCAGAATTCAGTAGTTAATTTAAAGCAAAAATCAGAAAAAATGAGAAGAAAAATTATTTATTTTGCTACATATTACTCTTCTGACCTAATCAGTAAAAAAGTCATTATTCACACCACACTGGGCAATATGCATTGTAATTTTTAACAAATAATAGGAAACTGTTAATGTGTTCACAGGAAATACAGTTTTGTCTTGGGCTGCTGTGGTCATTTATCAGCACACTTTGTGAAATCACTCATTTGTTCTAATTTGAATGTAAATGACTCTAAGGTTTTACAAATAAGGTGACAGACTCACATAAATGTAATTGCAGGGTTCATCTCCCTCTTTTTATATATCACTCATTAGGTTATGAATTAAATACATCGTATTAAACCAGGGGCATGTCCAATGATGATATTGTAATGGCAAATTACTCTATGCTATTAGAGGTGTATTTTTTATTCATGGACATTAATTTGTCATTAAGCGGCATTAGTTTAGCACTTTTATGTGAAAGACGTGACCTGCAAGAGGAGACTGCTGGGATGTGAGAGGATAGGGACGCAAGGGCTATAGGTAGAGCATTTTATCACTGTACGGGAAACGGCGGGGGGGGGGGGTTTGGTCCATTGGTTTTGTTTTCTGCTTTTACAAGCATGAAAGATCATTTCCTCAGATTGAAGATGTTGCTCTGTTTATGGTGTGCACATGTGGATTGTCTAGGAAAGCAAAGCCCAAATTTCTCCTATTCATCATTCAGAAGCCAAGAAGGAACGTAAAGGGAATGGGAGGCAGGAAGCAGCCCCTGCCCTAAATCTCCTCTGTGACTGGTGTTTCTTCCCTTGTCTTCATTAAGTTTTACAGTAAATGGGCTACCGTGAGGATTAGTCATTTTCTCTCTTCAGTGAAGGTATAAAGGTTTAAACAACGTTATTCCCTCAGGAGGGGGTTAGGGAGAATTCTGGGTAATTTTGTTTGTTTTTTGGTTTTTTGCACAAATGGGGATTTTAGTAAGAAAATATTTTTTCCACTTTCAACCTTGAGAAGCACTGGATCCTTGAAATACCTTCACCAGGGCTGAAAGTATCTGAGTGCTGCCTTTGCATCATTCCGCACATAGTTTAATGTGGTTGGAAAATCTCTTGTACCACTCCCAGCTACACCGAGGGGCTCTTGAGGGCCAGGGTCGTGCCTTATACCAATTTGTATCTCACCCCTCCCTTCCTTCACATTGTGGGAGTTCAGTGTGTATTGAGGAATGGAAAGATACCTCCATTTAGTAATTTTTCTCTGCTTTTTAAATAGTGAAATTTTATATTATGGCAAGAAAAATATATTACCA